CTGACAATATTTATAATATTACATTTTTTTTACTTTCTATTCATCATTCAGAATCCTGAAAACTATGACTTATTTCATTTGCATCTTCACTCAAAAATGTTCAGTTTTTCAGTTCAGCTGAAGTTTTTACAATAATATTATTAATAATAATAATAATAAATAGTAAAAATATAAGCTACTGTACAAAAGTTTGGGATCACTAAGTCTTTTTTAAAATAAATTAATAAATTTATTCAGCAAGGACACATTCATTTGATCAAAAGTGACAAAAAATACATTTTATAATGTTGCAAAAAATTATAATTACACAAAAAACTACTCAGTGTTAAAAAATATATCAATTTCAAATAAATGCTGTTCTCTTAAACAGTTATTTTAAATTAAAAACAGTAATATTGTGATATATTAAGACACTGTACTTTTGATAAATACAATTATAAATAAACTGAATAAAATTAGTCTTGGTAAACATAAGAAACTTCTTTCAAAAACATTACAAAAAATCTTAATGAACCCACACTTTTGAATGGTAGTGTATATGTAAATTATTTAATTATATAAAAACATCATCAAAATACTGTAAATTCAATGCAAATATCTAATAAAGACAGACAGACAGATTTTTTTTATCTTTCTCCACTTCTAAATACAAGTTACTATCAAAATCCAAAAGCAAACCATCAAGATGTTTAGGGCCCAATAGAGTTCTAAAGACAAAGTCAAGGAAATCCTGCTGTCCATACGACCTGCCTCTGCTTAGACGGCTCGAACCCAAGAGAACACGACTAATACCGTAAGAACCCAGTGGCCCGTGTAAATGTCCCATGAGTGAATGAGTGAGCATGTACACCGCCTGGCTAATGCATTTGTAAAGAAAACTGCAGAAACCCTGAAGTGCGGCACTGCAGCTCTTACTCGCAGTAAGAACGCATTTCAAAAGCCTGATTGATGTTTAATGATTGAACGCCTTGCAGTCAGGCAGAAACGCGCTCAGAGGAAGGAGCTAGGACAAAGGACTTAACAAATCATCTTTGAAAGGTCCATCTATTCAAAGTGTGCTGAGAACAGCAGAACCATGTACTACCCCAGCAAGGACTTTCAAACACTTATTGATGTTTTGGACGCAATTTAAACTCATTTCAATTTCCAATTACTAACAGGTTGAACATTACTTTGTGATAAAAGAATAATGTATTGATCAACTCACTATATCTTGTGCGTGTATCATGTTCATTAAACATATTCTCACTTTGTTGATGTGTAAATCAATTTTTTAATTCAGCAATGAGGCCATTTACATGCAAAAATGATTGACCAACACATGCTGCTAAGCAAAAAGACATCTAGCCATAGCTTGTGTGAAGTGTGAAGGTCTCTAGAAAGTCCCATTTGTAGTTGAAAACCGAGAGATTACAATGAAAGTGTGGCTGGTTAGTCTCCAGCCTTTCACAAGGAAAAAATCATTTCAAGGAGAAAAAAAGAAATAAAAAGAAAAGAGTTTTATGATAGCACTGTCAGAAAAGATGATTACATGTGAAAAAGCGGCATGAATCTGGCGATAACCCTTCAAATTCTATTAAAGAAGCTCCGCTCAAAGAAGAACTCAAAATTGAGAGGGATGAAATGTGTGTGATGATGTCCGTGGGTGAAAATTTTCTGTTAAGAGAAAAAGACAAGAACCTGTCCACCTAATTTTCCTCTGTGTGTGTGTGTGTGTGTGTGTGTGTGTGTGTGTGTGTGTGTGCGCGTTTGTGTATGTGTTCATTTCGTACTGAAAGGAAAAGACATATCTCAAGGCCTGTCTAGTTCTCCTCATTGATCCATATTATTTATTTACACCTACATGTCTATTTCCTGAATGCTTGATGAGCAGTGAAAAGTGCAAAACACTCAAGGCCAAATACTTATCACACAATTAAAGCATCACAGTACTGTATATGATCGACTAACTACTGACCTGAACTGTTAATGTGCAACATTTTACAATTTTACAGATCCTAAGAAGTCTTGCATAGCCAGACCTCTGACTGAACATCCACAATGGTCCACAATTGAGCTTATTTCGGCCAAGAAACATTGGTTTTGACAGAAACCAATCAGAAACCACAAATCACATGACTGGCATAAAAAGCAAGGTTGCTTGGTTAATCTGTTAGTAATATTTGTTTAATATTTTGATAAGGTAAGCAGCAGAAGACACCAAAAATTAAGGGGGGAGGGGGGGATTAGGCTTATCAACTAGAATTTTAATATCATATTCAAATTCTAATTATCAGCTTATAAACTAGATATGCAATATTTAATCATTATAAAACTAAATTATATAACATTTTGTGTAAAATAACATTAATTCATTCATCCAATTCATGCAATTTTAAGCAACATTATAAATGTACAAATGGGTATTAATTTTGAGATTTGCTCAAATTCACTTTTAATGTTATTAAATAGTGCTTTTACAGAATAACTTAGATGACAGATCATTTAAATGTAAAAAATAGAAGAAAATGCATGTGCACAATGAAATATGTAATCCATATCTAATAGATAGATAGACAGACAGACAGACAAAACATGGTGGAAAATATTGTCTTTTCTGTTCAACCAAAATTGCAAAATATGCTGATATTTTTACAGAGATAACTAAGAAAACTAAACAGAATTTACAGTTCTACTTCTGGATATCAAATTGAAGTGTATTAAACAAAACTACCTACAAAAGTAACCCCACAATGAGCTGAAGGACACAGCAATAAAAGAGCTTCCATATCTGACAGTCTGACTCTTGATAAACCCATAATATTGAGTAACACTCATAAACCAGCAATTTGTTACTCGAGTATGCTTCATTATTGGTCTGAGTCACAACTGCTGGCGATTTTGTGTGTATTATGCTGTATTGCAGTGGGAAGGGATTGAATTAGAATGGATTGTTTCTTTGGGCTGCTGGGATCCATATTTGTGTTTGTTTCAGCTACAGTTGGTCTGTTTAAAATCTATACGTGGTCTAAAATCTTTCAAAGAGCAAATGCAGAAATGAAACCACCATGAAGAAATCATGAGAAAACATTCCTGCACACAAAGCGCCCCAAGCCACCCCCTCCTCCTTACATTGTTTAGATTTACCCATCGTTCCCATTGATGCTTTCCCAATTCTCTCTCACTCACACACACACACACACACACACACTGAATGTGCTGAATTACAGCACATTTCACCCTCATCCCAAAAATGATTCATTTTTCTATTACAGAGATGACTGTTTGAAATGAGCTATGTAATCAATACCATACGTTTGTAAACAGCTCCAGTTCTCCAGGGAACCTCTTTTTTTACTTTATGCTCAAATAATCTGTGCCCTGTCAAAAGCAATGGAGGGGCCCCTTGTCTTACAATGTGTTTACAGGGGCAATTTAGCCGCCTGCAAATAAAATGACCTTACTCTAGTATGTGTGTACACAGGTATTCCTTTTGGATTGGCATAGATAATGTAAAGTTTATCAATAAAGGCGTTCATGCACATTTCTCTGTGCATGTGCAGCACTTTGTTGCCCTTACGTAATAATTTTTGTGTGTGATAGTGTGTTAATATCTTGTTTGGTGTGAATAAGATAGATAAGTGGAATAAGGTCACGACCAAGTCACAACCTCTCATTACAGCTGCCCAGTTCAGGCAGAAAAGATGGCATTCAAACTCATGATAGTGTGTTTTAAAAGGACAGTTCACTTCAAATGAAAAGTCTATCATCATTTACTCTACCTCATGTCAAATGAACACAAAAGGAGATGTTTTGATGAATGTTCACACTGCCCTCTTCTGTAAGTAAATTATGACACACTCATTTTTGGATAAACTATTTTATGGGTTATGGGTTCATAAAGCTTTAAAATAAGCTACAATGGCTAAAAATTAAAACATAAACTAACACTTTATTTCTTATTTTAATTCATGACAACTGTCATTCTTATTTATGAACCGGGATTCTCATAAACATGGAAAGCATGGACGTATAAGATAATTTTAAATGTGTGGAAAAGTCATGGAAATGAATAAATCTTTATAGGAATTTTTATAATTAATATACATTTTTGTAGTTATGTCAAAATGTTTTAGTATATAAAACATGTGTTAGTATATAAATTCCTGAAAAAATTATATTTGTGAGTGAGCAAATAAATAAATAAAGCAACAGCAACTTGAAAAGTCCTTTAAATTTAATGGTAACAAAAAGTGTAAACACTGAAAAATACTCAGTTATTAAAACTTCTGGAATTATGGGATTTAATTTAGTATTTATCCTTTTTTCTTTTTTTTTTCATTATTTGAATACACTGCCACTGCTAGTTTCTGTAAATAAAAAAAAAAGTTTGAAACGGAGTAACTTTGTCAATATAACAGAAGTGCCAGAAATAACTTAGGAGGCCTCAAATAATGTCTTTGAGAATATATCATGCAATATTTTTAATGAAGTGTTAAATAAAGTAAACATACTCAAACAAAAACACATCGCTCTCAGTGCCAGGATGAGAATCAGTGCCAAGCTAAATTTACATTAAATGACTTCCTGTGATGCAACATTATTTAAAGAGCGGAGGTCTATCCTGAAAGGAAAATTTATCTAAAGCAGCAAAAAAGTGATTTTTCTGGCATAGTCGACTCAAATCTGTTAAGTCATTTGTAAAATGAACAGCAAAAAAACTATTGCAGACAAATGCAGTCATTCCAAGTATTTTTTTTTTAATCATTCAGAGAGCTTCTCTCTTTCCACAATGGCAGTTGCTCTCTTATGTCTCTTGATATTTAAGTCATCAATATATCAACCAATGTAGATGGACTGGATATTGACATCACTGAACAAAGAGATCAGATTTCATCACTTGTGGTACAGTCCTAAAGATTCTGAAATCGGATTTATGTGCAGTGTGAACAAAGCCTAAGTGCTTAGCTGTTTACAACACAGACAGACTCATGCAGTTCTGTGTTTGGGAATTTACTCACATATATCTGAGCTTGCAGTCTTTCATCCTCGGCGGTGATTCTTTCTCGCAGTATGGCTTTCTGGATGCTCTGCTCTTTCTCTAATGCGAGGATCCTGCTCACCTCGTCCTTTACCTGGGCTTGAGCTTCTGCCTGGGCCTGAACATGCGTCTGGGACTTTTCTTTTTCCAGCCTAAATGTAAAGCAGCACAGAATACAGAAAACTTCAGATCTTTGGTCAACATTACCGCTATTCAAACGGCTTCTATTTAAAATGAAACCATTTGTTTTATAACATTTGAAACATATTAGGAATATCAAAATTACCAGTACTTCAAATATTATTTGATTTTATTTCATTATTTTATTAAGTTAAGTTAATTAAAGTTACTTAACTAACTAATCTTCCAGAAACCAAATAGATGGCTGCTTTCGAATGAAGGTTGAATGGTCAAAATGTCCAAAATTGTGTATTAATTCAAACACATAATTATATCATAACTGGCAGGACAAAACTAGCAAACAATAGAAAAAGTAAAAATATCGGATCATTAAGCTTTTAGTGTAAATGCAGCCTAATAGACCTGCCACTGTCTATTTTGTTGCTAACAATAAATTATACAACAATATTGACAACAAAAAAGAAAAAGCACTCAATGTTCTTGGCTGGATCATTTTAAGAGCTTTAATAAGCCTTCTACAATCAAAAATGAACATTAGCCCTGAAAAAAAATAAAAACCATACAGCTAATTTTAATTACAGGCCTGCATCTTAGTCAAACTCAGACAGCACTGAATCACTATTAATGCATTATGTCTAATAATCATGCACTGAAGACTATGCCAATAATGTAATTAAGAATAATTTGAAGGCTACATGTCATTGTTCCACTTTAATTAGTTAATATTCATATTAATATTTAACTTTTTAAATAAATGACTGAGTTCAATAGCACATTGGTATGATTAATTTTTCTAGTTGAAACTTTAAGTGAAAAACATAACCAAGTTTTTTAAAAATCTCAAAAATAAGATTAAGAAAGTTTATAATTTTTTTTGTGCGAGGCCACATATATCAAATGCTTTGAATCACAGTTTGGGAAGAATATGGTTATAGTACCAGCCTCAAATGAGGGAAAAAGCGCTCAGATATCAAATGAGATTTTGAATATGTTGCCTCATTTGAAGTTGTGTAATAGGTATGTGGCGGTAATAATTCTTTGATGTTTTTGAGATAATCCTGCGGAGCTATTTGGAATTTTGAGCTGGAATGTTGAGAGACTTTATGAGCTGTCACCCGGTTCTCACAGTTGCCTAGCAACCTCAGCTGCACCATCAAGCAGGAGGTTTGATTTGTAAAGTAAACTCAGGCAAGATACAGACTGTAATCTGTATGCTGTGTTTTCAATCAAACAGCAGCCTTGTAAAAAAAATAAAAAATAAACCAAAGAAGCCAAAAAGGGCAATAAGGGAGGGTATAATTATAACACTGCCGAAACAAACATAAAGTGTGTGAGATTTCCAAAGACGCGCTCAAAGTTCCATAAAAAGTTTGAGCAATACAAACACACAAAAATATATAATACAAAAAATATATAAAATACAAAAATACTGAGGGAACGCAATGGAAACGCAACACCAACAATAAAAGAAAACATTTTATTACACACACACACACAAACACATATATATCTATCTTTTTTTTTTCAACAAATGGTCATTGAAGCTTGTGAAAGTGCTTAATCTTCAGAAAATGTTGATGGTCAACCTCAAGAGATAAAACAAAATATTATATATTTTATTCATGTTGTATGGGTTGTGTAATTTTTCAAAATGTCTAAACAGAGTTTAAAAAAAATCTAATTTAATATTTTGCAGTTTTTTCACAATAAAAAATGAATTCAATTAAATTAAATAAAAAAGAGGGTTGCAAGAAACAAGATTTTCGTTATAGTTGCAGCTGGGTTAGAGAGTGTGATAGATAATTAAGGATTAGTTTGATAATAATAAACTTGTATTTCTCACATATTTTTTTAACATGCAACCCTTTTACCTTAATTATTTATAAGTTTGATGAATGCAGCCAAAATAATAATAATAAATATATAATGAGAATAAAATAAAAATATGAGATTATAATTATTTTCTCCTCTTTCTGATTTATTTCTCTTTTTCTTTCTGAATTTTGATTTTCTCTTTATCTTTTCTGCCACATTGTAAAAAACAGTCTTCATTCAATATGACAGAAAGCAACAGCAAACTCTGATTTATGATTAATGTGTGTTAGTTTAGCATGTGTAATTTTACTTGCAACCAAACAAGAATAAGTAAAGAAAAATTAATATTTGGTGTCGTCCTGTTGTGTTCCTGTGTTTGTGAACACACACATCATTGAGCATTTTGTTCTCCTGAGAAAAGTGTGAGCGACTCCAACCATGTCCAGTTTCAGTCTACTGAACTGGACACATATCAGCACAACACATCCATCATTACTTCCCTCTCTGGTATTGTGTGTGTTTACGACATCTTCCAGGACTAAAAATAGGCCAAAAGCATCAAGTGAGCACAATAGTGTCGCTTGCAGGGCAAAAAACACGGGCCACTCAAATCCAATTATGTTCATCTAAAAAAACAAACAAAAAAAAAAACAAAGAATATGCTGCAATTACAATACCTATGTGCACCGCACAACACCACACTTTCAAAATAACACTGCAATTTCCTTCCTAATTGATTAAAGGGATAGTTCATCCAAAAAAAAAATTGCTGAAAATGTACTCCATCTCAGGTCATCCAAGATGTAAATGAGTTTGTTTCTTCATCAGTACAGATTTGAAGAAATGCAGCATTACATCACTTGCTCACCAATGGATCCTCTGCAGTGAATGGGTGCCGTCAGAATGAGAATCCAAACAGCTGATAAAAGCATCACAACAATCCACACGATGCCAGTCCAACAATGAATGCATTGTGAAGCAAAACGCTGCATGCTTGTAATAAACAAATCCATTATTAAGACATTTTTGTCTTCAAACCACTGCTTCCTCTATTCATAACATTGCTTTCTCCAATGAAAAAGTCATCTCATTTCAATCAGGAGATAAATATGCACAAATCAAGCACTGTTTACATGTGGAAACAGTCCAAAACAGTTCAAAACAAATATGCTGGTGGATTTTAAAGAAAATTTGGTGCAGTCATTGAGTCATTGTGGATTATAGACTCATATTTTAGCAACAGTTTTAAGTTAAAATACCTTAATGAAGGATTTGTTTCTTGCAAGTGTGCAGATTTTTGCTTCAAGACATTAAATGATGGACAGCAATCGTGTTGTGGATTATTGTAATGTTTGTATCTGCTGTTTGGACTCTCATTCTGACGGCACCCATTCACTGTATAGGACCCATTGGTGAGCAAGTGATATAAGGCTAAATTTCTCCAAATCTATTCTGATAAAGAAACAAACTCATCTACATCTTGGATGGCCTGAGAACGGAACATTTTCAGCAAATTTTCATTTTTCGGGTGAACTATTCCTTTAATGCAGGTAGGTGAGGACCTCTAAAGCGAAGAAGACCGTACCATTTCTTTAGCAATAACCTGATCATTATTTCATGACAGGAAGAGAATAACACTGACAAGACTTGTTAGTCAGAGCTGAAATAAATGGGTTGTACCACTCTTTGATTGGTAAGACTTGGAAGAAAAACATTTCCACACTCTCAAATACTGAGCAGCTTCCAATGAAATGGACCATTCAGAAGAGAGCATGACCTTAAAATCAAATAACGGCAAAGCAAAAAGTTTCTAAATAATTCAAGCTATATTTCAGGAACCTATCTCACTCTCTCCATCACAATAAATAAACTATGCTTTGATAATGTCAGCCGGACAGTACCTGAACTATTCGGCTATCCTTCAGAGTCCTATGGCTATTTAATGTTACACTGTATCCATGATGTCTCGAGTCTCATCTTAGAAAAGGTCTGAATATCAACAGTTGTACAGAGACTGGCCTTGGTACGTAAGGGACCAGTATAATTGACTATTTTTTTAAGCCGCACACCTCTGTACACCTACAGGAGCTGATCTCACTTCCCCTCCGCTATCCCACCATCTGTGGGCTCTCTCCTGCAATTTAATTCACCACATATTCTAGACAAAACAAATTCTGACACGCCTGTACAAAAGTTATAGAATGTTTCCCTCTGCAATAGCATTTAAAGGAGCCATGCATTATTATTGAGGCAAAATAATGTGCAAGAATGCAGGGTTTGAATATTTTGTAATTGTCAAATAATGAATAAACGCAAAGCTGCGCGCCTGTAGCTTTGATTACATAATTTGTCTTGGCCAGTAGTGGAGCTTCTGCTGCGGATTCTGATGGATTCAGTGCAGGAACTTTTTGTAAAATTAAAATGTTTGTTAGATCACTCTCAACAGATATGAAAAGCTCCTCCTCATTCTGAAGTTGGAGGAGAAAAGCAAGGAATAAATAAAGCAGAGGGTGATTAAGTCACACAGTGACATGGATGAAATGAAAACAAACACACAAGCACCCAGCATGCCTCTGGGGAGAGGGAACATACGCCTGTAATTCAGCTGTGAAATGATAGTGTGCAAGAGCTGCAGGCTGGATTGTGACAATGAGTGAATTTAACATGTGGGCATGTATCCTCATGCATGCACTAATGCATATATTAATATGCATATATTAAAGGGATAGTTCCGCCAAAAATGAAAATGCTATCATCAGGCGCTCAAATTCACGCTAGGACTTTCTTTCTTCTGTGAAACACGAAAAGGCAATTTTTGAAGGATATCTTGGCCAGTCTTTTCAATATAATGTGAGGGAATGAGGGCTATCAGGCTCAATAATAACTAAAAAGCACCATAAAAGTGGTCTATATGTGCTATATTTCAGGTTGTCAAGTCATTACAATAGCTTTACATGAGGAAAAGTCACTAATAAAATGTTCACTTATAATCTTGACATTTGCATCAGTTCACAAATCGAACTGATCGGGTTCTAAAGTTCACCTTTCAAGTTAACATTTTACTGGAGTTACACTCTAAAAAAAGCTGGGTTGTTTCAACCCAACTTTGGACTACTTTTGAGATGGTGATTATGGTGCTTTTGTGTCCTTTATGAAGTTCGACAATTTCTGTATAAATAAAAATAGAAGCCAGAAG